AAAATATTTTATTGAAGAGAATAAAAAGAAAAATGCTCTTATCCTCATACTCAAGCACAACAGCGCTTGCGGCGAGGGTTTCGGCTATGGAGAAGGATGCTTTGGATCGGATTCAAAAAAAGATGTGGAAAGGGGATGCTAGTTTCTCTGGTAAGATTTCTCTTAAGCCTCAGGTGGAAGCATGGATAGAGGAAGGAGCTTTGTCTAAAGGTCTAACTGTTCAATCATATAAGGATTCTCTGATGAAGAATTTTAAATGGGCATGGAGTGATCTAGATGATGAGGAGGATGAGGCAGGAGCTATGAAGGAGCTAAGGAATGGTTTGAGGATAGGATTTGAGGGAGTGAAGGAGCCATTAAAGGGTATTTCAGTGGATTATAGCCATCCTTTGTGTTCAAATTTCGTGCTTGATGATGCAAAGAAAGAGAGATTGTTGAAACCATTTAAGCAAACGTTGGTGGTGAAGTTGATTAGGAAGGAGGTATGTTTGGCTTTATTGATTCATATTTTGAGGCAAATTTAGGCACGTCAGGGTCAAATTAGGGTGATAGATTTAGTGAATGGCTTTTATTTGGTAAAGTTTCAGTCTTAGGATGATTATGATTTAGCTTTTACTAGGGGTCTATGGATGGTGTTTGATAGCTATTTGAGTATAATATGATAAAGGCCTGATTTTGATCTAAAGAAGGAAGTCATCAATCAAGTTTTTTCTTCCTGACCTTCCTACTACTCATTATGATAGGAAGTTTTTATTTAATCTAGGTTGTGCTATTGGGAAGCCTATTAGAGTGGATATTCCTATGGCTCTAAGGGGGAGAGGGAAGTTTTCCAGGTTATGTGTGGAATTAGATTTAACTAAAGCTCTATTTCCTAAATATAGTATAGAAGGATTTGTTAAATCGATTGAATATGAATGCATGAGTTTGCTTTGTTTGTATTATAGGAAATATGGTCATGTTCATACTGACTGTGATGAATTAAAAAAGGCTAATGAGGAAAAAGTGGTTGTGGGGGAATCTAAGAAGGTTGTTAATGTAGAAGGAAGTCAAAAGAATGATGTGGAAGTTGTGGAAGAGGTAAGGCTGTGGAAGGTTGTTCAACGCCCCAGAAAAGTGTGAAAAGGTAAGGTGGAAAAGGAGATTCTAAAGAATAGTAATAGGTTTGCTATCTTTAATGATAAGGATGAGGGTGTAGTAAAGAATTCAAGGGGACCTCTAAAGGATATATCTAATGGTAATAGTTCTGTGTACAAAAAGGGGGATCTTAACAGAAGGTTTAGGAAGGAACCAATGAAGGTGGTTACTCCATCTATGTTATCGAGGGTGGAAAAAACTAGTTTGAGGATTAATGAGAAGGTTGAGGAGAAGAGGCTATTAAATAGGCCTTCTGTGGAGAAGTTTATAGAAGCACATGACAAGTTCAATTTATCTTCCAGAATTAACATGATGACTGATGAGGAAGTGGATGGGAAAAGCTTAAATAGTGATATGGAGAGGGATGATGAGGATCTAGAAGATGGTGAAAACATTGAGTTGAGTGAGGAAGATAGTGAAATGATGTCTCATGATGAGAAGATTGATGATAGCAAAGCTTAATTTAATTGTTTCTACTGTCTGTGGTTTTGTAATAAAAGTCCTTGTCTAGAATTGTAGAGGTACGGCTAGCAAGGGTTTTGCTGGATCATTTAAGAGTTTATGTAGAGATAATAGACTAAATTTCGTGGTGTTGTTAGAGCCTAGGGTGAGTGGACTAAATGCTAAAAGAAAAATTAGGAATTGGGGATTTCAAGTAGCTTTACTGAAGGAGGCGGATGGCTTTGCTGGTGGAATTTAGATTTTAAGGAGGGACGGGAGTATCAATGTAAAGGAAGTTGTAATACATGAACAGTTTATTCATTATATAATTAATGAGGATTGGATGTTCTTAGCAGTCTATATTAGTCCGCATGAACATAGAAAGGGGGATGTGTGGGATGTGCTTGGTAATATTGCGAGAAATATGAGGAAGAATTGGTTATTGGCAGGTGATTTTAATGCGATTGCCTCACCAGTTGAACAAAGAATTGGTGCAAAAGTTAATCTAGCTAGATGTAATTGCTTTAATTAGTGGATTAATGATAATAAATTGATTGATTTGCATGCAAAGAGGCCTTTTTTCATATGGGTTGGTCCGAAGTAACAAGGGATAGATTGGTTGTTTAAAAGGTTAGATCGTGGGTTGTGTGATGACTTGTGATAGGAAGGCTTTTGTAATGTTGAGATTAGAGTGTTGATGAGGTTGGGATCTGATCATCACCTGTTACTCATTAATACAAATTCGAAGTGGAGGGGTAAGGGGTTTAGACCTTTTTGTTTTAAGGGAGCTTGGCTTCTTCATGAAAATTTCAAAGAGCAAATGAAATGGTTCATATGATGAATAGAATGAGTAGTGGTAAGGGTTTTATGGCCATAAAGATAGACTTGGAAAAGGCTTATGACAAGATGAATTGGCTTTTTTTCATCAATGTATTAGTATAACGGCTATGTTTGTGTTGTGGAATGGTGTTAGAAAGAAGGAATTTATGCATTCAAGGGGGTTTAGACAAGGAGATCCTTTATCTCCATACTTATTTGTGCTTGGGATGGAAAAGTTGTCCCATCTACTTTCTAATTCTGTGAATAAAAATGAGTGGAAACCACTGATAGTTAGGAGGAATGGAGTGCAAATATCTCATTTGATGTTTGCAGATGATCTTTTGTTGTTTTGTGAAGCAAGTATGAAGCAAATGTGTAATGTACTGAAGGTGTTTGATTTGTTCAGTGTTATTTTAGGGCAAATTATGAATAGGAAAAAGACATCAATTTTTTTCTCAAAGAATGCTTCTGGGTTGCAGTAAAGGTTGATATGTGATGTTAGTGGCTTTCAGAAGTCAGAAAAGATTGGAAGATATTTGGGGGCTTATATTGTGAATGGAAGGGTAGTTAGAAATATTTAATAAGGTACAAAATAAGCTAAATGGTTGGAAGAAGTAGTGTTTTTCTCTTGCGGGTAAGCTTACTTTGGTGCATCTAGCTTCTTCCCAGATTGTTGTTTTTAATATGCAACATTCTCGAATTCCAAAAGGCATTTGCAATAGGATTAAGAAAGTGTAAAGGGACTTTATATGAAGAGGAGTATTCATGCTGTGAGTTGGGAGTCAATTTGTCTTCCAAAAGAGAAGGGTGGTATAGGGTTAAGAGATATGGAATTAATGAATAAGGCATTGCTTAGTAGAATTGGGTGGAATATGGTGGCGAAGCCTTAGAATCTATGTTCAAGGGTGCTATGGGAACGATATGGCAGAGGATGCGATCTTTTGGGTGATCGTATGGTGAGGTCCTCTGATTCATCATTGTGGAAGCCTGTGGCATAAGTTTGGCCTAAACTTTCTCATTTTTTGTCTTGGGAGGTTAATGATGGAGCTAGTGTGAATTTTTGAAAGGATATTTAGGCTGATAGTATGGGATGTTTGCTGGATAGTTGTTATAGAATTCTAAAGGCTCCTTTATTAAATTACTATGTGAAGAGCTTAGTGAATGAGAAGGCTAAGTGAGAATTTTGTTTTTTGAAAGATTATTTGAGTCATGATATTTTACTCAAATTGAGAGCTATTTCCACACCAAGAGAGGGGATAGGGGCTGATTGTGTGAGGTGGAGAAATTATGATTCTGATATGTATTGTGTGTCTCATATGTATAAGTACTTGTATGATAGGGAAAGTGTTCCCTATGATGATGTTTGGAAGGGAATATGGAAGTGGAAGGGCTCGAGACATATGTAAGTTTTTCTATGGCTTGCAATGCATGAGAGGTTAATGACATCAGTTAGAAGATCTCGAATTCTGGGTGGGTCACCTGTTTGTTGTAGATGAAATGTGGAGGATGAGGATGTGATGCATGTGTCATGCAATTGTGTAGAGGCTAAGAAAATCTAGTTTACCCTTGGTTGTAGGGAAACTACAAGTGGGTTTTTTTACTTTACCAAAGAGGCGCTGGTTGATTGTGAATTTAAATGGGACAAAGACTGGAGGAGAATTTTTGCTATCACATGTTGGTGGTTGTGGCACTAGCGGAACAAAATTTTATTTGAAGTTGGGTATGTGATGATTTTATATCCTGAAAGAGTTATTTTGAGGTATGTGGAGGAAATAACTTCTTTGTTAAAGCTGTCTGGTTTAGGGAGGATACTGAGATGAAGAGTTGAGATTAAATGGAATCCTCCTCTTGATGGGTAGATAAAGCTTAATTTTGATGGGGCTTCAAGGGGGCAGGATCAAGTAGCTGGATGTAGGGGATTGTCTATAGATGCTAATGGAAAATGGATTGGAGGTTATGTTAAGAGGCTTGGCTCATGTAATGCTTTTAATGTAGAATTATGGGGCATGTATTGTGGTCTGTTGTGTGCGAAGGAAAGGAGATTTACGAAATTAATTGTTGAGGGTGATTTTTTATCAATTATTCAGGCTCTTAAAATAGAAATATGGTGGCTACTACTAAAGTTGGTAGGATTATGAAGATGATTTGTGAATTGTTGATGTCTGATTAGTGGGTTGACATTATACATGTTCATAGAGAAGGCAACAATCGTGCGAATTGGTTGGCAAATTATAGTTTTTCTCAAGATTTTATTCTGTGTTATTTTAATGAGCCTCCTATTGTGATTCAGTGGGTTTCTCACGCACTAGATATTATAGTTGAATAAAGGGCTTTTGCCCGTTTCTTTATCAAAAAAATAAAAAATAAAAATGCCACAAATGCATATGATTTATCTATATTTTTATTCAGGCGAAAAGTAGATGGCAAGTTTTCAACGAGACTTCTCTGTTCAACTTTTGCCAAGTTTGAATGCATCCTCTAATTTCTTTTCAATTAAATTCACCCTAAGTATTCCGCAATCGCTTGCCTGTCGTAATACGCAATGACGCCAGGTAAATTCCGGCATAATCAACAAGATCAACTATCTATGATAAGATAACAGCATATTTCAAAATGAGCAATCTTATTCATACTATGATATACAAGCGATTCCATTTGATGTTATATAGAACATGAAAATGACATGGCGTGTATAAAAGCCTTCTCAACTTTCACATTAATCATACTGCTAATCTAATCCGTACTAAAGGTTCCCAGCTTAAAGTGCCATCTCAGCCTGCAAAGCAGCCAGTTCATCTTCCTCAGCAGTTTGCTTCTGTGGAGGCACAGGGTGAGCAGGCTGCCGCCCAGCTGGGACCTGCACAGGGGCTGCCGGAGCTGTAGTTGCTGGCTGAAGAAGCTGTTCTTCCAACTCAGCACCCTCCAGCTCTTCAAGTTCTGCTTCCAATTCGTCCTGAAAATACAAGTTGGAATGCCCACAAATTACATGTTAGTTTTCACTGAGACAATGACACTACAACATAATCTCTGGATCAAAAATATCGTATTTGTGGCTGAGAGAACAAGACCTCGTCAAAGTCAGCAGATGCGCCAATTGGAGTTGCCAAGGCTTCTTGAATCTGTTTCATGTTCTCAGTCTGTTCATTGATCTCATCCATGGTCCTGTCAACATCATCAATATTCCTGCACAACAATGGCATCAATGATGAAACAGGCCAAACAAAGACGAACAGAACATTATAAATCTTTTTAAAACTGAAAAGAAGAAGTTAGGTGAAGTTGACTACATGAATTGAATGACCCCATTGTGCTCTATTATTAACCAAGCTTTTAAGAGTATTGTTAACCAAAAGGTCACATTCAACAATTTTCATGAGCAAATATTTTAAAACTGAAAACGAAATAACTAAATATGCCATAACAAAAATAGTGCTGCATACGTTGCTTTTGCCATAGCCTTCATAGCAGATGCTCCGGTTCTCAATGCATCTACTGTTTCTGTGGTGGCCTTAGCACCCTCCAACATTATCATCTGTGAGATGATTTACCAGCACAATATGAAAAAGAATCTTAACAACCTCAATAGTTGCCAGTACACATGTTAACTATGAAGCTGTATTCAGACCTGATCATGAACACGCAATTGGAAATTTCCAAGCTGCTCTATTTGCTGTTCATACAGCCTCTTCTTCTTCAAACATTGTATGGCCGCTGCCATGAAGCAAACACTCAAAATCAATGGACTACAAAAAACCAATATGTGGATGTTCGTGCGTGTAGTATGTGTGTTGTGCTTATCCATACAAATTTTAAACCTACTGCATCATGGATTGCAGAAGCCGGATTGCCAAATTGTTATGCATAATACATTTAATCACAAACCATTTTAACATGTCTAACTCGAGACAAAGTGCCGCAGATTAGTGTGAAAGCTTACACCACAGCATTCCAGACCATTTTAGTATGAAAAATCAGTGATATGAAAGCACTGGAATCTGAGACCATGGAGACAAATGGCTGTCCCATTTATGCAGAGCTTCCACTATATATCCATTTGTTTTCATGCATAAGCATAATAGCACTGCTATACCAATTCAGGCTAATTTCCTGAACACGTAATTCCTGATTGTACTGTTATAAACGAACTACAACTGATGTATTGTTTTCCGGCCAACCTTTGACTATTGCATATGTGGACAAGTCTCAACAGAATGTATGAAAAGATGGAAAATAAAAGGAGTGAATATCCAAAAAAATTGTGAAGAATAAGCAAGCATCCATGCATTTGGAAACATACCCCTTTTGTTCTTCGCTCGAGTATAATCTTTGGCCTTCTCAACCTCTGCTGCAACTTTTTTAGCAAGAAGATTCTCCTTTTTTTCTAGCATTTCAAGCGTCTACAAAGAGTGGAACAGTTGAATTGAGAATATCGTTTGTCTTGAAAAGGAAATCATTGCTTGATATGAATGGGAAACAATAAACCTAGCACACATATAGTAATTAAAAGGAGAACAAGAAGTAAAAACCTCATAAGAAGATTAATACCAAATCACGGTTTTTTTAAAAAGATTTTAGTACTAAAACATAGGAGCAGGAGTGCTGAATTTCAAAGCTTAAGTTGTTAAAAGATATTAACTTGACATTAATGTTCTAATGAGGTCTTAATTTGCCATTCTCCTATGCTATGAAATTCTAATAATAATGTGTTAATTTGACAAATAACTAGGTAACCATCCTAGGTTGATTAAGCAAAATTTTATTCTAACAGACTAAAATAGCGTGAAAACTTCATAAAACTGCCAAGACTAAAATCAAAACGTACAATCTCATATCGAATTTTTAAAAAGTAATCGTAGTAATCTCGCACAATCAATTTACAAGCAAAAGTTAATTACATCTCCCACTACGATGAAGTAAAAATCAACAGAGGATGTATTTAAAAACGAATCGGAAGTACGAACGATTTCACACCAAGGGAAAGACCGAAAATCATATCTTTCGATAATCGTATCTGACTCACCTCGTTTAACTTGTCCAGAGTCGTCAGAGTATTGGTTTCGTTTTTAGGTTTACCTACAAGGCGATTCCACATGGTTGCTATAACAGGATATTAAAGAGTTCTGATACCCTTCTGGACTAAAATCAAGCATCAAAGAGATTATATGAGATAATACCCTAATTCGACTACATCAAAGAGATTAGATGAGACAATACCCTAATTCGACCATCAAAACTGCCCAGAAAGCAAAAATTGAACATTCAAACAGAGAAAGCAGGAAGGCAAGAAAGAGGCGCGTACCTGACCAACACAAATTAGGGTTTTGAGTGCGATGGAGAAATAAACAAATCCAGTAAGAAGACCAAGGCTTGAGCCCTGAGATGAAAAATAGATGGACGGAAGATCAGAGAATCGGAAGAACGTTTGGTAAGCTGCTAGGCCTCAAGCTGACGTCGACGACTACTGTGGAAGGACCTTTCCACGCGGCGCTTTTGGATTGGTCTAGGGGAAGTTAAATTTTTCATAATAATAATTAAACAAATTAATCGATAAGTCTTTCTATTTTTTTAATGAAAAATGATAATAAAGTTCTTTTAAATTATTTAATTGGCAGATTAATCTCATAAAATGGTATAACTTTTCTGGAATCTTCAGAGATGTTTCTGTCACTAGAGAATTTAATGAAATGATGATTTTGCCCTTTGTTCAAATTAAAAGAAAAAACGTCATTTCCCCCATTCCAGTCTTTAGTCTATGTTTGCCCTCGCGTGTCGCCTCAAGTGTTGTGCCTTCATCATCGTCTTGCCGTCATAGCATCATTGCAGCCCGACAATGGTTCTCACTTCATTTCTAGCAACTTCGAGCTTCTCAATGTTGCCAATAGTAGTTCTGCTATTGTGGGCTTATGGCTTTGCTGTCGCCGCCATCGTTATCCCTCTCTCCCCAATCTCACTTGACTTTGGTTCGCTCCCTCCCACTCTTCCTCTTCTATCTTCTTCACTTTAGTAATTATAGGACTGTAGGGCTGAACCTTCAATTTGTGGCTATATATGATCTGTGGGTCTGTTTCATGCAAAGTGTTAATAAAATGCCTTTGAATGTTGTCACCAGTTTTAGTTCTTGGCTAATTTATCTGGGATCAACTGTTAATAATCTTTTTCTATATGGGTCTTAAGTTAGTCATGTTTTGAGGTGAAAGGTTTATAGAGTGCTATGCTTTTTTCCTATCATGTCATGTTCCATGAAATTTAAAATTGCCTTGTCTATGTGAGTTGTGCTATTTCATGAGCTGACTAGTGCTAGTGAATCGCTAAAAAAAAAAGTGAGAGTAGTTTTTCACTTTTTGTTATGATTTTAAATACAAATAATTTGTCATCTCCTATCTAGTTTCTTCTTTTCTTTCCTGTTTCCAGAGGCAAGTGATTTGTTCAATAAAAGTTGTAGAGCAGGCATCTCTTTCCGCGCCTATTAACAAATTGAGTTGCCGCAATAATGAAGCCAAGCCAAGAGCATGCAAGGGTAATGCTTGAACTGCCAACATTTTGGAGACTTTGCTTAAATTAATATTATTTGGATGATTTTGTTATTAAGACTCATATATATTTCAATATTACTTTTAATATTTCTTTGTGATTCTATTCAAATTTTATTATTAAATTAGTTCATAGTTATAGTATAACATTAATTAAATATGACAAATGATGCTAATATTAATTATGAAAAACAAGTAATTGAGCAAGTTTTTCTTGTTTTTTGTTCTCAAAACTTATTTTGAGAATAATTTATCAAATAAATTTATATATTTTTGTGTTTTTAGATATAATTTTTTAGAAGAATTATTTGAACTTTACTTGTACATTTTGGTTTCAACTTCCCAGTAGTTATCTTGTCAATATCACTACAAAGATGTTTAGTTTTAAAATTTAACACATTCAGTCATAGTGCAACAAATGAGCTATTTATGACTTACAATAAATAACTTGACTTGCTATAGTTTTTATGTTGATGTATTAATTGATATGGATAATATGCTATGGATATTTTAAATGAGATCCTAGTTAGTATACTCATCATGATTGATACAAAGCTTAACATATAGTCTTTTTTCAATATAGGTGATATTGGATACCTTGAATGACTTTCAGTGGATTTGTGATCTATATAATATTTATAAATGGCAGCAAAGACTGAAACATCTTGGTGCCACAATTAAGTGTAATGAGTAGGTTAGAACTTGGGAGACACCCTACACCTACAAGACCTCTCATAAAGATGTAGTACCTTTCTATATTTGATTTTCTTGTTAATGAATGGGTCACAACTGGTAAACCTTCTCACTTAACACAAGAAGCTACATAGTCCTACTCCTCCATGTGCAAGATAAGTCTCAACTCAACTTGCACACCCACCTTCTCTTTTCATTTTTTTATTATTATTTTTTATCTTTTATATTTTTGTGTCTGAAAATTTTATACCTCAATCCTTACTCTATTAAGCATTATTATATATTTTGTCAAAAATGTATATGATCCGCATATATAATTGATTGGATCTGAAAGGACTTTCATAGCAAGTTATGTATATTCTTTCTAAAGCAATAAGATGGTGAATGTGTTAAGTCTTTTCAAGGAGGACTTTCTCAAGGAAAATGAAGATAAATTTAAGAAAATGAGGCTAAAACATAGAATAAAATATGAACTGAAGGCGTGGGAAGAGTTGCTAGAAGCTAAAAAAGCCAAGTATATTGAGAAAGCTAGGCAATTAAAATCTTATGAACATGCTGGAAAAAATAAATATAAGGTTCCTTTTTACATGAGGTGCTCTGAGGCAGTTTATGGAGCTTGCAGAATTTGTGAAAGGGAACGAGAACCTAAGAATAAGGGTAGAGAACATCAGGTTTAGGGTGTTGCTTGATATCAGATGGAAAACACTCCCTCAAGACCTCTGTTATAAATTAATATCTTCTTATAATCCACCTACCCATCAATTTCGTATCAAGGGAAAGTCAAAAGAAATGAAAGCAAAAGATGTTCACACATTGATTAGATTACCCTTTGGTAGGGATAGGGTGTCAATAGATAGGGGTGAGCATCGGTCGGTTCGGTTCGGTTCGGTCTCAAAATATACAGAACCGATCGATCGAATAACACTAAAAATAAAAACCGAATTGAACCGAATAAACCAATCAAACCGAACAAGGACCGAACTGAAATTTGATAATTCGGTTCGGTCGGTTAATTCAGTTTTTTGGTTTCATATTGGGCTACTTGAAATTGGGCCCATTTTTTTAAAATATTAAAAAACAATACTATAAAATTAGGCTTTTTTTATTCATTTTTTTCAATGAGCCCATTTTAACATGTGCTTGCTAACAAAATTTTTAATCCAGCCAAGTGCCATATAAAGAATCCTTCCTCAGGCTCACATCACTGTTTGGTCCAAAAAAAGTTGACAAAAAAAAAACGAATAAGAAAGAAACCAAAAAAAAAAAAGCTCGCATCACTGTTCAATTCCACATGAGGAATTCCTATCAGCCAAGTGCCATATAATATTGATAAAGAGAAGAAGATAACTTTAAATATTAAAATTAAACAACCACAGTACTATATAATCCAGTCATAGAAACCAACAAGTCTTTAAAATATTAAAATTAAACCATTACAATAATCAAATATCCAAATTAGTAAAACAAAATAAAATGAGCAACCTTCATAAATGGAGTACCATAGCACTAGCATCTTGCAACCTACATTACACAAGTAAAAATCATATAAGAAGCCAAGAAATCCTGCCCATCAGCTGAAAGTCTGAAATCAAGAAGTTACCAATATCAAGTAGAGAGTATGAGCATTCAATTGCAATAATTTGCCTAATGTAGAGACAAATCATAAGCAAAATCTAGATTAAATATGCTTATAACTTGTTAAAGGAACAAGATTATAGTTCTTACAATTCATTAATTTTGGTGTCATATTGACGAGCATCAAATTGTGATTCCTCAGCCTCAGGTGCTGTTGCTGCCATGACTGGAAGATGCAAAGAATTATTTACAGATCATCATGAAAAGAACTGGACGACAAAGCTTACATAACTACCAAATAATAAACATAATAGTATAGCAATTAAAAAGCTATATACAGCCACAGTGCCTCAAGCTATAACAATTAAAACATAATAGTATATTAAAATTAAACAGCCACAGTGCCTCAAGTCATTAAATTTAAAAATTAAAAAGCTAACATATAAATAATTACCTCAAGTCATTAAGAACAAAGGCTCATAGTACATCCACATTCGCTTCTATAGCAATTTTTTGAAGATCTAAACATAAATAAAGTATTTAATATTAATATCATTTAACCAATAGCTCAACATTAAATTTAAAACAATATAACACATAATAAATCACCTCTCTCAATCTTTTGTGCGTCATCTATCTTCTCTTCTACTAGAACCGGAAGTGAGTGGCGAAGCCAGTCTTGACCACAAACAAGAGATTGCACAACTTTAGGAGTTAAAGAGCTCCTAAATGAATCTAGCACACGTCCTCCAGTGCTGAAAGTAGACTCAGAAGCAACAGTAGAAATTGGGACAACCAAAACATCCCTTGCCAATTGAGAGAGAATGGGAAATCTAGGCTCATTCAACTTCCACCAATTTAAAATATTAAAATCATCCTTATCCATCTCAATTTCTTCAGCCAAATACTTGTCAACTTCTGTCCTACTAGTTCTCCCACCAAGCCTTTCACTCATGAATTTTTTCTTTTCATATTCAAGAATTTTTTTAACTTTCACAGCTGGGTCATCATCTTCATCAGATTCGTAGCAATTAAATGATTGCTCCTTTTCAACTTGCTTTGAAGGAGAGACATGCTCTTTGTATTCATTATACAAAGAAATGAGCAAATCATTCAATTGCCCTCCAACTTGCTTTCCAACCTCACTAGAATACATCTTATCAAGTGAATATTGCACCCACTCAAGCTTATACCGAGGATCAAGAATAGCAGCCACAAACATCAATTTATTGATTTTTGAAGGATCTCCCCAATACTTATCAAATTTTTCTTTCATTTTATAAGCCATTGAAGAAAACTCCAAATCATCACATTTTCTCCACTTATCCAAAAGGCGGAATAACATATAAATCTCATGAAAAAATTCATTAGATGTGACAAGTAAAGAACTAGAAACACGCAAAGTCAACTCATAGAAATGACTTAGGAACATTGTCATCTTTCTTACATTTGCCCAATCTTCAACATTAGGCACTCCCTCCCCACTTTCAAGATCAATCCTAAAATAAGGGTCCTTATCCTCAAACCTCCTAAAGGCAGGCTCAAACTTTTGAGCTGTCTCCAACATCAAATAGGTAGAGTTCCACCTAGTAGAGACATCTAAAGACAACAATTGCTTACTTGGGATTTTCTCATCTTCACAACTCTCTTTGAATTTTTTCATCCTAAGTGGAGATTGCCTCACAAAATGAACAGCCCCCCTTACTTTCTTTACAGAAGTTCCTATTTCTTTCAACCCATCAACCACAATCAAATTAATAATGTGAGCAACACATCTCATATGTAAAAACCAACAGCTCATAACAGAATGGCCCCAATTATAATTTTTTCTCTCAAGTAAGACACAACAACATCATTAGTAGAGGCATTATCTACAATAATAGTAAACACTATTTCAATCCCCCATTCAAGCAAACATTTCTCTATTTCCATTCCAATATCCCTCCCCTTGTGACTAGATATTGGAACAAAATTTAAAATCCTTTTAACCAAATTCCAATCAGCATCAATGAAATAGGCTGTAATGCACATATAGTTGATTCTTTGAATTGAAGTCCAAGTGTCAGTAGTGAGGCAAATCATTTGTTTACTATTGATCAAATAATCCTTGAATTTGATTTTTTCATCAACGTAAAGTTGAAAACAATCACGAGCAACAGTCCATCTAGAAGGAATCTTAAATTTTGGTTAAGCATGAGACATAAACCTCTTAAATCCTATCCCCTCAACAAATTTAAATGGCAATTCATCAGTCACAACCATAGCAGCCAAACTTTTCCTAATAGCATCTTGATCAAATTTCCAAGTAGCAAGAACAATAGCATCATCTTCTATACCAAAATTTAAATGTGTTTGCCTAGGCTCTTCTAGTTCAGGTCGTTTCTTGCATATTGTCATATGGTTCTTTAATGCAGTAGTACCATTTCTTTTAGGATCACTAAAAAATTCTTTTTCACAGTAGTTGCACTTACCTTTGGTCTCCCCATGCTCATTCACATATCTAGTGAAATGATCCCAGACCTCAAATCTTGGCCTCATGGCTTTCCTCTTCATCCTTTGCAAGGAACTCATTACTTCAGTTCCACTTGATGCTACTGGGGCTTTGTTTTCTTCATTAACTTCAGTTTGGTTTGTAGCCATAGCTTCAGCTTGAGAAGACATCTGTGACAATGCATAGCAATCAAAAAAAATAAATACAAAGTAGAGACAGAGCAACTCAGCAAAGAACGCGAAAGCAGTCAATTAAATTCCCAATAACATTTTCCTTTGTTGCATTTTGGCTTGAAAGGAACACACCACATAAACAAAAAAGAGCAAAGAAGTAGGGACATAGACGGAAGATGAACTAAAGAAAACTCATTGTCAAGCTACAGTGAACTTCACAGCTAATGACGACATGAATCTCAACAATGCATAATCAAGCATAAAGTTCATAGTGTGGACTCACAGAGAAAGCAATTAAAACTCTTATGAAACAACTAGATCTTGGGCATGGTAGATCAAGACAACAAGAACAGACCAAATCAAAGGGAGAGAGAGGAAGAGCTGCATTTCGAGGGAAGAAGCAAAAAACCTGTTAAAATGCTTTACGCAGATTGTCCTTCAAGCTTAAGGTTCTGTGTTTCACAGATCTAAGCAGCCTCTCGCCTTCAGACAGTGTCTCCGTGAGTTTAGTGACAGTAAGGGCAAGAGAGAGAGAGACTGAGATGCCAGAACAGAGATAGGAAATCTGAGCTGCGAATAATCAACCTGAGATGTAAGAGATGCGAACGGCAAGATGCGAGAGATGCGAACGACGACGGCTTAAGGGAGACGACTTGCGATCTGAGAGTTGAGAGTCTGAGAGGCTAAGACAGAGCGATCGAGTGAGGCTGTGAATCTGTGGTGACCTGAGCTGCGAGAGAGATGGCTGATGAGTGATGAGAGAGAGCGACCGGCGAGGCTATGTGACGGCGAGAGAGACGACTTGCGAGTTGCGATCTGAGAGATGAGAGTTTGAGAGCCAAGAGGAAACTTGAGATGAGACAGGGTTAGGGTGAGTGAGGCTGCGGTCTGCGTCTGTCCGGACTGAGGCAGTGAGGCGGGATATGACTTATGGGTTAGGGTTTTTTTCAACTTTCACATTTTTATTTCAATATAAATTAAAATAATAAAATAAAATAATTTATAAATTAATAAGTAATACATAATTCGGTCGGTTCGGTCTATTCGATTTTAAATTTTATTAACCGAACCGATCAACCAAAATATTTTTAAATAAAAAACCGAATTGAACCAAAAAATCAAATAAACCGAATCAAATAATAAAAATTCGATTCGATCCGATTCGATTTTCGGTTTCAGTTCGGTTTTGCTCACCCCTATCAATAGAGGTGGATGATCAAGAGGTGATGATCAAAAGGAAGCATTCTTGAGGTTGAAGGAAAAATATTGTAAAATGCCATATAAAAAGATATTGGCATTAATTAAATCTGGAGCAGAGGTTGAAAATTTTGAGTTTTTATTTTTATTGTATACATTGGGAATATTTCTATGCCTGAGAGCTAGTGCTAATATTAGTGAGTGAATTGTGATGAAGTTAAAATTTTCACGAGGTTAAAATATTCTAGAAGCTTCCGGAATGATCTAGGACAATCAAGAAAGCACCGGAGACTTCTAGAATACGCTGGTATAACCTTAAAAGACTTAGATATCTCTAGAATAGTATAGAAAGTACTTGAGGTATTTAGATTATTCTAGGGATATCCTTCTCTTGTACATTCTAGAATTTTTCTTGTAAATATCAAGATATTTCTTGTAGATATTTCAAGAGATGGAATGTACACTATAGGATCAAATCAATCCCAACCGTCCTTAAGGAGGTGGACATTTTCTAGAGAAAAGGGGGAGGTTTATAAATACCCCCTCACCCTCATTTGTAAAAACTCAAGCAAGTAATAAAGCTCTCAAGTTCATTCACTCAAACTCTCTACTCTCTACTTGTGCATCTATCTCTTTTAAGTCTCTTTGCCTACTTGTGGGTTCGGCTGACTTAGTCACGATCAAGAGGTTGATCAAGCTAAGGCCAGTACGGTTCAAGGAAAGGGAAGTTCCAATGCCATGAAAATGTGGTATCGAGGAAGCCGTGGTTTTAATAGATACTTGTAAGTAAGAATGTCGGGTGTGACTGAGGAGACTCTTGCTCATGTGGAAGAGAGGGAAAGGGAATCCCAACCTCTACACTAAGGTAGCAAGAAGGCACGAGGCATTAGTAAGGTATGTTCAAAAGACCTAACTATACTCTCCATAAAAATCGATGCTTTAGAGACAGCTATGGAAGAGATGGTGGGTAGAGTAGAGAAAGTTGAAAGTGATATGGGTACGTTGGAGAACCACACTCTCAAAGAACTTGAAGGGGTAAAGAGTAGTGTGAATGTCTTGTAAAACTTAGAGGATCAATAGGAGGATGCTGTGAAATCCACAGGGGCAAAGGTGATAGAGGCTATCACCATAATGCAACAGCAACTCAACACTCTCAAAACTTCCTTAAAGGCAAAAGGAAGGAATCCACTATTGGATGGAAATAGTGGAATAAGGAAAGTGAGGATGGATCTTCCCAAACCCAAAGAATTTAAAGGTGTACAGGATGCCCAAGAAGTTGAGAACTTCTTATGGCAGATGGATCGTTACGCCGACACCTTAGGGATAACAGATGATCAAATCAAGGTACGTACTGCTACTTACTTCCTTATTGATAACACAATGTTATGGTGGCGAAGGAAGCATACAGACATCGAGAAGGGGCTTTGCACCATCAACACTTGGGAAGATTTTAAGAAGGATTTGAAGAGGCAATTCTATCTCGAGAACGTGGTTTATGTAGCTCGTAAGAAGTTAAGGGAGCTCAAACATATGACCACTATCTCGGACTATGTATAGGAATTCACCTCTTTAACTCTTCAAATTCCAAATCTGAGTAGTGAAGAGGGTCTCTTCTACTTTATTGATGGACTTTAAAATTGGGCCAAGCATGAGTTGCAACGATAATGTGTCAAGACTATCAATGAAGCCATTGTGGTCACCGAGAGTCTCTCGGAGCTTTAGAAGGAAAGAGGTGAGTCTCCCAAGAATAGATTTCCTAACCCTAATCTTAAGAATGGTGGGGGAGGAAACGATAAAGGGACAAACCTTGAAGGGAAGGCGATAAATAAGGGAGACACTGAAAAGGGATCCCAGACAAAGCAGAAGGAGAAGAGGAAACTTCACTACTTTATATGTCAAGGCCTTTATAGGATGAAGGATTGCCCG